CTTCCTCTCTGAGTCATGCCAACCAGATAGGAAAGGCTTTGGAAGAGAACTTAGTCAAAATGTGTTGATCACTGGGAAGTGTCAGAAAACTGAAAAATGGAGGGTAGACAGAACCTGAAGTGAGAACGTGCATCTTCTTTTTCTGTTGACATGAAGGGCAAAGTGTCTTGTAAGACTGGCATTCTTTGAGAAAGAGAGCAGGAGATCCCATCCTTCTCCAACAGCACGGGCAAAAAGCTCTCTAAACCCATCATGGTGCTAAAGTATAAAGCAGGTCTACCCTTTGGTTGCAGGTGATTATTCACAGTGGAAGGGATCATTAAAAGGTATTTTGACAACTTAATCTATTCTTGTATGTTCTTTCTTCATGCCCATGAAGCTCGTTGTGCTTCAGTGAGAAAAGCTGAAGGATGAGGAAGCAAGCCAGAGTTATGGCTATATGCAGAAATAAGAAATAGGAAATCTCTTTAGGCATAAAAACTCTCAGCAGGATTTGCTGTCATCACCTTCTCTACTCCAAAGCAGGCTAGGGACCTGCTTTCTGCAGAGAAATGTTATTGATGATCTTTTCAGAGCTGATCCTTTTCTCATAATGAAAGAAGTTAGACACATGGTCACCAGAATAGCTACTGCTGCTCCTGAGATGTTTAACTTCCATATTTAACATCAGGAATCTCTTAAATTGTTTTATATTCCCTCATTTCTGACAAAACCATTTCCAAGACAGCTAATGCTGTCACAGATTTAAGGGTAGATGGGTCCAACCTAAGAAATTATATTCTGCAGTCAGATCTCTTCCTATTAGGTATTTTGGATCCAGGCTTTATACTTAGGTTTATCTCTAAAGTATAGTTTTACCACTAAGAAAGAAAGAGACTGCTAAAATGCATTGGAACAAGTTGAAAAATAGTTAGTTAAGTGCAAATAAGCATGCTGCACTGCAGTATCAGAGTCCAGGCTCAGGACTGGCAGCACCAGCAGCTTCCTAGCCAGACACTCATCATCACCCGGGGGTGATTGACTCTGGTAATCGCTGGCTGATCTCAATTGCCAGGAGGCTGAGTGGCTGCCATATGCCTTGGCTAGCATCTGGGACAAGGAGGCAACTACTGAAAAGGGAGATAAGCCACAGGGACCTGTGGGGGGCTGCTTCACTCTGAGGGTGGCCAGTTCAGTCGTGCACGACTCAGAGCCCTGAAAGGCTCATGCCATGCGTGACAGAGGCCATTGCCTGTGGCGACACAAGCTGAAAGGGAAGCACCTTCCCATTCCAGAGGAAAATGAAATCTCACCAGCTATTTCAATCTGAAAATGAAATTTTTCCAGTCTCCTGGATTTTTTTTTTTTTTTTTTTTTTAAAAAAAGGGATTTTTGAAAAGGGGGGGACGGCCTGCCATATGCCTTGGCTAGCATCTGGGACAAGGAGGCAACTACTGAAAAGGGAGATAAGCCACAGGGACCTGTGGGGGGCTGCTTCACTCTGAGGGTGGCCAGTTCAGTCGTGCACGACTCAGAGCCCTGAAAGGCTCATGCCATGCGTGACAGAGGCCATTGCCTGTGGCGACACAAGCTGAAAGGGAAGCACCTTCCCATTCCAGAGGAAAATGAAATCTCACCAGCTATTTCAATCTGAAAATGAAATTTTTCCAGTCTCCTGGATTTTTTTTTTTTTTTTTTTTTTTAAACAAAGGATTCTTGTGTCTCTACGCCACTCTGGGATGTGTTATGTGCATTTTAGTGGCCTTTATTTTGCCAGGTAGTGCTAGGAGCCAAACTCTAAATGAGAACTGAGCTCTTGGGGTCCAAGAAAGGACTTCTGTAAAAGAGTTGTGGCCAAAGATGGGCTCCAGTTTTCTCCTGGAAGCTTCATCCATCTGGCTATCATGCTAAGGAAGATTCACGACTTCAAGTAGGTGTCTATCACGCAGCCCAGGAAGGGCACCACACCAACATGCAGAGCACAGCTTATTAGCAACATGTTTTAAATCTGTGGTTTACCTTTAGTTCCATTTACCTAACCCGTCTCCCTGTCCATTAGATGTTTGAATGGGCTCTCCTGTATTCTTTCTGTGACCAAACCCATTCCCATGACCTGTCTTTAGCAGGGGTCTAGGTACAGTTTTATTCAAGACTGCTCGTGGCCATCTAAACTCTGGCTGGACAGATGTAGTGGAGAGGAAAGGTACGTGCTCCTGCCACAGCTCTCCTAGTCCTGCCGGACATGGGTGCTTAGGAGCTCAGTACAGTAGGTGCTACTGATTCTGGCTTACCCAAAAGTTTTGGCAACAGTGTTTCAAATGTGGGACTTCTGCCTAACCTGCCTGTCTGCCAAGGGTTTCAACTTTCTGTCACGGGAGATGTTACTGGGTTGGGTTGAACTAGCAAAGAAAACAGATATGCTACTAGCTATTCCAAATCCAAGGCTCGCTATGTTAGCTTAAGCTTTACACTCTGAGAATGAGCAGTAGCTTGCAAAAGTAATCTTCTACCAAAAAAGCAAGAATCCTTGTGTGAAGCAATTAAGTTATTTTCTCCCCAGATCACTGGTACCCCCAGTTATTCAGTTTTCACGCCACCACTCCTACCATGACTATTCATTTCCCTTTTACTGCCTGCTGTCCTTCCTAGCCCCTTGCCTCACATTTTGCCACTGGTCTCTGTTTCTCTGTTACAGACATCTCGCAGACTCCAGGGCTCTCCAGCTGATGTTTATTTGCAACTAGTCCCAGGCCCTGCACTCCTCTGCCTTGTTCTCAGTATCCATGGGAACACCTTCATTGTCCCAGGGCTCAAAGGGGTTCAGTGTCCACCTTCGCTTTAGAGATTCACTCCTCATCTGCTGCATGAGAGAGTGCCCTGCCTTCCTACACGATGCAGAGTTTGAGAATAGGCTTTTCTACATTAATTCTGTATTCTTGTGTCCATCTTCTAAGTTGAGAAACTCTTCCTATGCCAAGATCTGAAAAGACAAGTGCTTTTTTTCTAAACTTTTGGCTGGCAAAAGTAAAGCCATTGCAGGCGGTTACCCAGCCGCTGTGTGTCCTCCCCCCTGAGCTGGCCATGCTCATTTACGTGCTTCCTCCCACCACAGCACCATGTCCCAACCCTGGGGTGTTGGGGAAGATGTTCAAGGGCAAATACTGCTGCTTCCTCTGGGGAGGCCGGAGCAATGGTCTAAACCATGACTGTGCAGCCCCAATAAGTGCTGTTCCCTAAGTCAAGTCTGGGGAAAGACTTGAGCTGTAATAGGGACCATTTTCTTCTTCGTATGCTCAGAAAGCAGAATGAAGGAGGGACATACCTGAAGCTCCTGCCCCTTCAGGCACCACAACTGTTTAGTAACTCAGCGCAGATATCGAATCTTGGTCCTAGGAAGCTGATTAATCCTTCCTAAGGACCTGTGTCTGCCTCTGGGGTACTTTCTACACGGCAAGTCCAGCAGAATGGAGTAGCTCAAGCTTTCCAAGATTTGTATTCGCTTGCTGTTTCTCAGCAGGGGGTCACCACTTGCCTCACCCCCATTGACACCAGGGAGGTCCATAAATCAGCTGCACAGTGATAGCACAGCCCTCCCAATGCTCATTATGCATCTTGCAGCTGGAGGAAAGTACCACCTTTGGTGCCAAGTACATTAGGGAACATGCCTGGGTTTAAAAATGCTCCATGGGAGGGAATTACAACATTTCCAAAGCTTGGCCTCTTGCATCACAAAAGCAGAGCATGCTCCTCACCATGTTTCGGGCCATAACAAAAGCCCAAGGCCAACAAACAAAATGAACCGCTTTAAAACAAAGCTGCGCTGGGTTTTGTATACAGTGTTTGTTGCCACAATCTGGCCCAGAGTCACCATCTCGGATTTCCCTGCCAGAATGATGGAAATATAAATAGGGGCTATAAACCCGAAGTATTTCCAGCTCATACATCCAAAGGATAGAAATTATAGTCTCTTAGCAAGGAAAATGTTCAAGGGTAGTGAGGTAATGGGACCTGGTTACAGAGCTCATTTCTCTGAAAAACTTTAATACAGCATGGAAATTTTTCCAATGTCCTTGATGCAACCTCTGTTAGAGCATAAAATAACCCCTTGTTTCAGTGGAAAAGCCCCTTCCATGCCTTCGAGAATGCAATGCTGAGCTCCATTTTGGGAACAGTTTCTTTCCAGCTGCTGTTGCCAGAGATTCCTGAATGGCTCCGAAGACACAGCGTCAGCAAGGAGTGAAATCTGGCTGTTCGAAAGATAATCCGTTGCCTGTTGCTTACCTAGAAAGGGCCTCACTTTTCTGTGCATTTGCTGAGAACGGCTGCTGTTGAACCATAGGAGTCCCAGCTCCAGTCTTGCTAAATAATATTCTGGAAGTCCATGCCATGAGTCACAGCACTGGATGAGGGGCTCTGTTCATTTGATTAATTACATTACCATGCCTGCCCTTTACTTCTTGACTCATAGCCATAAGAGCCTGGGGTGTGCTGCGTATGTAGTAAACTGATTAAAGGGGGAATGTATGTCAATGTATGGATGTGTACAATAGCTTTTTGAAATCCCTTATGATCTTCCCACCCACTGGCATTGCTTCAATATCGAGTTCAATCATCAGGAAACAAACTCGCTCCCTCATCTGCGTCGCACATTTCAGCGAGCTTGCCAAATATGGCCAAGCTTTTAGAAAGAAAAGAGAATCCCCCCACCCGTGAATTTATGACCCTTGGCTCCACTTGGGGCTTGTTCCTGTGCATGCCTGAGTGACATGGAAACTGCAGCAAATCTGTTTGGCCTGTTTCTACACTCTCACACTTGTAGCTATGTTGGATTTTTCCTTTTTTTAATGACTAGGGGGTTTTGTTTGGTTTGTTACCTTCTAACGCAAGCAACACATGACAAGAGACCCAAAGAAGAGCAACATGTGTTAATGAAAAGGGGAAGGGTCGAAAAGAAACAAGGAGAGGCTAGAAGTGTTGCTGAGCATTTGAAAGTAAAACGTCACTCCCCTCATCTCTTCCAGGTCCTTCAAGCCAGACTTTGTTCTGATCCGGCAGCACGCCTACAGCATGGCGCTGGGAGAGGACTTCCGCAGCCTCATCATCGGCCTCCAGTATGGTGGCATCCACACGGTCAACTCCCTCTACTCCATCTACAACTTCTGCAGCAAGCCCTGGGTGGTAAGTGACGATCCAGCTCTACTGCATACCAACACTGCAAAGTAGATATCGGGTACCAATAAAGCACCAAACTCAACTTGCAGTCTGTTTTATACGAATTCGTCTCTTCAGCTTAAAATCACCATCTAAACACCCTTAGGAATCCAGCTGGGAATTCTTGGGGAAAAAACCTACCAGCACTGCTCCTTTTTCAGCCTCTAGTAATATCAAGGTGTTATTTCCTCACCCTGAGTAGGACGTTTCAGCTGTCCCAGACTCTAATGTGTCACAAACAGCTAACAGTACAGTAGCACCTAGATTTCTTGTAAGGCAGAGTAGATGAATAGTAATAGATCAATAATATCAGGTCAATAGTAGCATGTCTCTGTGCTGACCAAAACACAGTAAAGCTACCTTAAAAGAAACATTAACATTCGCTTTTTTAGAAGGTATCTTAACCGAGCTATTTCTAGCATCTTTTATTAGATGCACACTTATGGTATCCAGGTGCCCCAGCCTAAGACTAAGATTATCCATTCCTTGCAAAAGTGCAGCCTGCACTTATCTTCTCTTGTATTCTCTTCCTACTTTTTCTGGGTGGCACTTTGTTGTGAGGAAATTAGCTGAAAAGGGGAAGAAAGGTAGAGAGATGACTTTTTCAACAGCTAGGTCTAGGAAAAAAAGGGAACATAGAATGACAAAGAACTGGGAAAGAGGCAGAAGGAAAGGGGAAAGCATGTAGAGTTTTTCAGCAGTTTCAGAAGGAAATACAAGATTATCATAAAGTGTCGGTTCATTGAACCTGAAAGACTGCACCTCGGAAACACCTTGGGCTGAGTCAGCTCCTGGGGAGAACAGGACAGTGTTTTGATATTTTGCACTGGGAGCACCCTTCACCCATTCTTTAAATTTTGTCAAGTTCACTTAAAAAATCTCAGAAAACCTTTGAAAATATTATCATTGTCTTGTCTCAGCCCCAAATCAGAGTTTGTAATAATTCCCCCGTCCTGTTTTATAACCAGCCCTAAGTCACCAGGAACTGCAGGAGCAGGAGAACCAGAGGAGTAAGGCTGGCCATCATGAGCCAGAGGAGCAAGGCTGGCCATTGTAGCATCTGCCGGAAGAAGTCAGATGCCGATACCATTTTGGAGTCCACATCTGGGTCTTCCAAGCAGTTTCATCCCAAAGTGCCCTCTCTGATGACTGATGCTCGCAGAATGGAAATTTCCCTGTATTGTTCTAAGTCCGAAGCAGGGAACTACAAGCTATATGGATGTGACAAGGAGATGGGACTTTCCAATATGTCCCCATGGAAAACTTTTAGATACGTTTTTAGGAATTCCCCTTACTCATTGCACAAATATAGCTTGGGGTGAGATGGAATGTTTATAGCAAGTGGTAACTATCTTCCTCATTACCTAATGAAGTCTTTTTTGTTGTTGTTTTTTCCTTGGAATAAATATCCTATTAGTCTTCAGTGTGTTGACTGGTAGTTTAAATCCAGCTGAGGTCTGTAATGACTCAGGCTTTTATTTCCATGACTATGCAGTGTTGGATTTAACTAATTTCTTACCAAAAAGGTACCAGTGTAACAGACATGGTCTTCTCAGTTTTAACCTCTTTTATGACATTTGGGGTTTTTTTTTGAGACCAAAAGCAGGGTCCTGCCTTTTCCAAAAATGTTGCAGTGCAGTAACGAGAGTAGTGTGAAAAATCTCGCTTTTCCATCACTGTATAGGTGGATGATGCACATTTGGCCTCAGTCCCCATTTGAATGATGAGGGTTGCTGGGATCAGAAAGGGGAGAAAGAGAGGGCTCAAGTACTGGGCTCAAGTGCCAGGCTCAGTACAACACCTTTGCATTGTTTTCTACAGTTGGTCCTATGCACAAGGACTTGTTGACCCCAGTGACCAGACAAAAAGCTTCCGCATTTACACTGGCTTTTGCTGAGGGAGACAGTTATGCGGTCTATTCCATCTGATTTTAGGGTTGAGTCAGTCAAGGTTTAGTTGACATTTTTCAACTCGTGCCTTGTAATTACATTTCTGATGGTGTGCAGGAACCTTAAGATGTGACAGGCCTATTTTTAGGTATCTAAAATAAAAGAAAACAAACAAACTCAGCACAAAAGAAAAAGAAAAAGAAAAAGAAAAAGAAAAAGAAAAAGAAGGGCTGGCAAGGCAGTGTGGGAGAAATTAGCTCTGCCAGTAACTCGGCTCTAGCTGTTCTCGGTTCGGTTGTGCCATGCTTTCCTCACAGGGAATACAGCTGGCTCAGACAACCTTCCTAGAGGAGTCAAGGAAACCACTTGTAAATACTTAGGTTTGCAGGATGCCTCCTTTCCCTTCTGCCCCTGCACACTAATCACCACCCAAACCAGCAATTGTAACGCACTAAGTAATCTAAGAGCTCAGATGGGATCTGAGCTCGTATTTGGCACCACTGAAATTTTATCAGGTTGAAGCTCAGGTAGAGATTGCACTGGGGCGTTTGAGGGAAGAAAGCTTCACTGGCAGCAGAATCAGAAAATTTTGATTTTGTGATAGCTGGGAAATGAGAGATAGGGACAGACCACTTGGGTGCATGTTCCACTCAGATTGCAAAACAGGCATCTTGAAATAAGGGATCTGCTTAACAAAGATTACTGGAAACTTTTTGGACCTAGAAAACAGTTGAGATACATGAAGAAATGAAATTAAATACCCCTGGGAAAAGTGCTTTTTACTCTCCCGTTTTATTTTTTCCAAAAATGGTTCCATTTTGTAGAAATGTTTATGATTTTGTGGAGGGGGATGGAAGTGAGACTGTTTTTCTCTGGCAATTTGCAACAATGTTTTTTCTCAGCAACTCTAATTACAATCAGCTGAGTTTGGGCTTGAGTTTACTCAAACATGCAGCCCCATTTTTTAATGACATTTGCCAGGTTTCCAGTACTGCAATACACAAATTTCTTCAAAGGTTAAAATTTGCATTAAACACAGGCACAGTTTGAAATAAGTGTTTCTGAAAGAGAAACAAACACATTCAGAGGGATCTCACACACAGCAAAACATCTAAGAAACCTAAGTTTTACGATGATCCCAGAATAACTGAGAAATAAGGCTACAAGCAGCCTAAACACAATGCTTCAATAATTTTTGTGTTATAAAAGTTACAATACAAAATACAGTGGGAACAATGCTCAGAGTAGTACTCATATTACATGGAGTAAGGTCTGTAATTGTAAGGCAACTTCTGCATCTGTAAGACTGCAGGAAATACAAAGTCTTGAAGATAGTCATCTACAGAGTCCAAGAGACTCCCAGCCAAACTCTTACTGACTGTCAAGGGATATAGGCTCCCTAATGACCTAGACACTTTAAAAATATGCAAAAGGCCTTGAGATTCTCTGAATGGATCTTTTTATTTCTCTGTAAAGACTCTCTGCAAGTAACTCTGATGTCCAACCAGCCAGGCAAGGTATCTCACTTAAAACCCAGACTGTGCCACATTGCCTTGCCCCATGTCTTGTTTTGCGGTCTGGATGCAATCTCACTAAAACCAGTGGAACCACGGAAAGTAAGAACCGATACCAAAATGTGGAAGGGGCAGTTATATCTAGCTGAGGTGCTGACAGTAACATTCCTACCCATCTAAAATGCACTGGGAGGTGCTACTTAAGCTCTGCTATCAGGTATCTAAGAGGCTGTTGCACCACATAACATGGGTGTCTCTATGCCAATATCCTGTACCTAACAATTGCCAAAACAAAGGAAAAAAAGGAGGTAATTGTCCCATGAGGGTCAATACTAAAGTCAGACCTTTTTGCAGGCTTGGCCCACTGGGGGTGTTCCCAGATGGGGCTGTCTCTCATGTGTCCATCTGAAATGCTTGTTATTTCAGCAACAGCAAAGAGCTGTATGCTTCAAAAGGAAGCCCAAGGAACAAGTCAGGACACTGTCTGTCAGCTGCACCGTTGTTCCAGTTATTTTCTTTGAGCTGTTTTCCTAAGATAAATGTATGTCGCCTCAATGTCACGGTGTCCATGTTTCGCCAGGGCTGCGTGCACGCGCAGTGAGGGGCATGGGCTGCTCTCAGCCAGGGTGTTTTTCCTCCTCTCCCTGTTTCTGTCGCAGTCTGTTTAACTTTTAAGCCCTGTTTGCTCACTTTGCTAGTTAAAACAGGGCTTTATTTTTCTTCTCTAGGATGTGCAGGGCTAGTGCAAGTAGTTAAGCAAGCTGTCCTCCTTCCCCAACGTCAATACTCTCCTTGCCAATGATAATTATTCTACAGAGGGAGTTTTTCTCTTATCTGCTAATGCATGCGAGGGGGTGGTGGTGTTAGTGATGTGATATGCCGCCTCTTGATATTTTCTGGGTTTGCTTGAATGCCACATTTTGACGTACAAGATTAGCAAAAGGATTCTTTGCATTTGTTGGCAAATCTGCTGGCAGCTGCCCCTTCAGCATGTGGCCTGGGACTGACACACACCTTGCAGCTTAATTTTTTTACATACAGGCTGGATTTTTTTTTACAACCATACCACCCTTTAACTCCCAAAGAGGTATTGCTTCTCCACTGCCAAGTGAATTTTCAACTTGTTATACAGAAATGCTTTTGCTTAGACTAGCCCAGTAACCAGGACAGGAGCCCTAATGTAACCACTCAGCAGCAAACATTCTCAGCAGTTCTCTCTTTATCTGCAGTGTAACCTTGGGGTTGCAATTTGGCACATTTACTGGCTTCAACCGTTGCTCGGAAGTGCTCAGAACATGTAAGATTAGGCAGCTTATGCTACTGGGAAGAAAGAGGGCTTTCTTTCCCTTCCCTTGTTTCCTAGATGTCTGTCTCCTTCCCTTAATCCATGTGTAACTTCCCTGTGTGTTACCACCTGTCACACAGGTGACACAAAGGTCTCCTTCAAGATGAATGCATCCCTAGCTTTGATGGGGAACTTGAAGGAACTTTTGTAAAGGACTTACAGTGAGACTTGGCCCAGACGGGAGGCCTTTATTAATTTAACTTGGTTTTACCCAATTCCAGCGGGCTTGGAAACAAGATGCAGTTTCTAAATTATTTTGCAAGTAGGACATCAATGGGGACTTCAGTCACATCTACCAGCTTAGCAGGAAAGAAGATTCTTATATATGGAGCAACCCGAAACAAGATTTATCTATGGAGCAATCCCCAATCACTTTGTTCTCTTAATGTCCATGAAAATAACCAAGCTACCTTACTCAGCTTTACTCCCCCTTCTGCAAGGCTGCCAGTCTAACCACTTCACCCACACACCCACAGCACTTCCAGTTCAGCATTGCCCGTGGTAACGGGGCTGTACCGCTTCAGAGAGACAGCAGAATGGCTAGAGTTGTGATTGTAAAGAATCCAAGTTGCTCCTGAGATCCATGTTTCAGATACATATATCTCACCTCTTATTCTCTTTGGTATACCAACCCTTCTTCGGCAACATTTTCTGTTATGGTTATTAAGTTTCTTTCTTATAGTTTTGGGTTTTTTTTCCAGCTGATCAATGACAGATTGAACAGGGAGGCTGCAGACAATGCACAGAATAGTCTGCTCGCTTCACAGATGGCCGAAGCGGAGCAGGAATTTGAACGGAAATCAAAACTCAGTCCTACCATGGGGAGCTTTGTGTCTGGCTGAGCACAAGCCTGAATGATGAACAGTTTATAATAGTGATGGTAGTGGTGATAATGGTGAAGTTCATGCTGACAGGCTGGGACAATGGCAAATGTTTGCCCTTGTACGTGAAACACCAGCACTGTTGCTTTCCCCATTGATGTTACATACTGCTTTCTCTAGCTACCATCCTCACAGACTGGTGCTTCCCTCAGACGTCACTGGTAGGTGGGACAGCAGCAGCAGATGATCTCCCCTTTTTCCTGCCATGCATGGGGGGCTGTTGGGAGACCCTTGGTTTGTAACAGATGTCAGTTATGATTGCCAGTGGGTTCATGCTTGCTTGGTCTAACAACTCAAACCAGGTAGCACAGGCAATTCCCTCCAGTCATCTCTGTCCCTTAGCAATTCTCCTTCCCTTCGGCACGATGGGTAAATGTGCCTTGCTTTGATTTGGCTGTGGGGCAGAGATCCAAGGGAGATCTTTGGCTTATTTTGTCTCTGCTCAGGAGTGGTGGCACTGCTTTCCTGCCTGGTCACTCCTCTGAGCCCTTTCCTCTACCAAGAAGAGCCCCCTCACCCTCTCCCCAGCCACATTTGGAAAACAAAACTTGTTCATAGCAGATCTGTAACTAAACCCAAACGGATCCCCTGTTGGCTCTTGAAACCCTTCTCTGCTCTCTTGGGCCAAGATTGCGTACACAGGCTGGCTTGTCCCTGAGTAAATACAGTAACTTCATATTCTCTTGCTGCTCTCAGGTCAAGAAAGCAAGGTGGGAAAGGCATAACAACATGTTTGTCTCACCTCCTTCACCAGTATCAGAACATTTTGCAAGCACTTACCTGCTACACAGTAAGACACTGATATCCACTGTGTCTGTTTTTCTGTTCCCTCCCTCACCCCAAGTTCTCTCAGCTCATTAAAATCTTCAACTCGTTGGGTCCTGAGAAGTTCCCCCTCGTGGAGCAAACGTTCTTCCCAAGCCATAAGCAGATGGTGAGTACCTTTGCTTTCTTCTGGCTATAGGGTGGATGGGGGAGAAGCAACGAATGTCAGTTGGGCATAAGACATGGTGGTGGGAATGCTGGGAAGAGTCTCAGCTTCACTTCCGGAGAATTACTAGCTAAAAGCAATATGCAAAAAGCAGTGCTCGGAAACCTCTTCCCCTTCTTGCCTGGCCCTCCCCCAGGTCACATATGGACCCTGAAAAAGTGAAAAATTAGAACAGGCTCAACATCAGAACAAAAATCCATTGTAAAGTCTAATCAACAAAAGCTCATCCCTTAGAGTACGGAATCAGAAAAAGCGGGGGTTTTCCCCTCCTGGAATTGTTGAAAATACGTTGACGATTTGGGACATGGGCCATAAGAGATGTTTGTGTCACAGTGTTAGTTTGCTTGGTCTGTCACGTGGTTGCCATCCATGAAACATTTATCAGCCAGACGAGGTACTCAAAGCAAACCGGAGTTCTTGAAAAAGAGGTTGTTTTAGCTTGTAATGTTTCCTTTGCACAGCGGCCTTGGGGTCTGGTCTTCCTGTCAACAACTAAACACTCAGTGCCCTGTGTGGCTACTGGGCACGCTACCAAACTCTTAGGCCACCTTCCAAGAGATTTGCGTAGGTGCCTTTAGTCCTGGACAACACGGCAAAGTGAGTGCCTTTGTTTAAAACTGTTCATGTCTCTTATTTTCCCTGGGTTAAAAGGGTGGCTAGTCCTTCATGCATTTTTGCTCCCAACTTACATCCACGAATTAGTGACTCTTCTTACCTGGCTGAGGCTTTCATCTGATGAGACCCTGAGTGAACCACAACCCCTCCCCATGTGAGCCATTGGCTGTCTGAGCTTATTTCCCTTACTTGTGAACTCGAGCAACATTGGCAGCCCAAAGGTTGGGGTTGTTGAGATGTCAAACTAGGGCTCAAAAAAACGTTCAAACAACTCCTCTTTTCTCACGCGCCTGTTGCAACACTGTGGGCCAACCACAATGCATAACAGGGTGTAGGTACCTGATGGTGGATATAGGCACCTAGCGGGAGCTTCAAAATTCAAAAGGAAGCCTCATCAAGATTCTTGTGAAAAATCCCACCGGTGCTCGCTAGGTACCTGAATACTTGAAATGCCAGTCCTTCGTCTCTGTTCCAATACTCTGTTCTCTAACTGTGCTGTGTGGACCACAGCACTTCCGTACTTCACAGGCACGTCATGGAGGTAAGTGCAGCCACGAGCGCTGTGAAGCACTCAAGTAATGCAGCGGTAAGACTGGTATTATCATTTAAGACGTAAAGAAATGGATGGTCCTTAAACACGGTGTGACAGTTTGTTGCAGACTTCTAAGGCAAATCAGTTGATAGATCCCATTGCATTTAATTCCCACTGATTTATAAAGAGGGTTTGTGACACATGTAATGCTTCAGACAGTTGTGACTTTGTGTGACCATTACTTCAGGAATGGTATTTTTGGAAGACTTGATTAAGGTTTTCATTGCAAATATGTTAGCTAGCACTTTTAGCATTATTTTCTTGTCTGGAAATCTGATTCTTGATTCCTCAGCATGTAAATGCATTTGTTTTACCCGCACAGTAGTTTGGTTTAGCAGAGCACTGATCTTAATTTCACATATTTGTCATCTTTATAACTGATTACCTACTTGGAGATGCTATTGCTTACTTGCAGATGCTATTGCTTACTTTCAAAAGAATACAGGAACGTTTTTGAACTGTGGATAATCTCATGTGAACACAAACGCTATTGTTGATATGCAAGCTTGAGTAATCTGGTTAAATCAGTCACTCTCCAAACGTTTACACAAGCAACAATCCACTTGGGCAAATTCAGGCCAGCCCTTTGCAGGTGGGGGGTCTGCCTCACGGAATGAATCTACGCAACTTCTCAAGATATTTACTAGATGCGCCTTCACAGTATCCTGGGCTGTGAGAGGCTGAGAGAGTAAGCAAGCACTTAGGCCAAGCAAGCTGTGTTGCAGTCATCACTCCACAAAATACCTGTGAAAGTCGCTTGCCCACTGGTGCATCAGCTTCTCCCTGTGTCAGACAGGAATATCATGATCCCCCTTCCCCACTCTTTTCTTCCCTTTCCCGAGGCATTTTCAAGCTGTACCAGTTAGCACTTGTAAAATACGCTGTGGTCCTTTGATGGCTAACCCCCTGGAAGTGTTTATAACTAGTGTTATGGTTTTACCTCTTTGCAAAGTGATATAGTTTAAGCAATGACGTTCTCACATAAGAGATCCTCATCCTTCTATGTCCAAAACTTTCCAAAGCTTACTTTCTAAACCTTTGGATTAAATATACAACAGATTTTAAAATATGTTTCATTCTTTCATCTGTGTAGAGAAGAGATTTTCCTAAAGCAAAAGTGAGATAGATAAAGGGAATTTCTAACAGTAGGCCCATTTTGTGAGCATTTTAACTTAGTTGAGAGCTCTTTCTCTGAAGCTTCCTTCGCATGACAACAGGGCATTTTTAACCAGCCTTAAACAGTAAACATAAAGAGAGGACACAAGGCTCAGACGTTTCACAGCAGAAAAGATCTGAAAGACGAATCTCTCTTCCCTTTGCCAGAGGCATATACCTTTCTACCCTCCCCCCAGTGATCAGTTTACTGGAAATAAGAGCAATCTGGCAACTGTTCTTCTAAGGCCCTACTGGTGCTACATGACAGCCATAATGACTGCCTGGCTCTGTAGTGACCCCCTATGGCCAGTTAACAAGTGGGATACATTAACTTCAGAAGGGATTTTTTGCCTCTCCTGTGCTTATGACCCCAATAACAATTCTTAGAGAGGTCAACCTCTTAAAAAGAGGGAGGGACTCCTGGAAGGATCTTTGCCAAAGAGCAAGAATTGCCAGAGGTGGAATATCTGCTTTGGGCCCAATAAAACGGTATCAAGAAAGGGAAGGAAATTAATAAATCCACTTGCAAATCCATTTGTGTACATCTGAAGTGGACAAAAACTAATATAAGTGAAGCAGAGACAGAGTGTCTGTGATAGAAATAAAACCACTTTACTGTTTAGAATAAAAGGACACTATAAAAAGTGAACATTATGCAACATTACCTTAAAAGACAATATACATTCACTGAATATAAAATTTATAAATAACATGGAGGAAAACTGTAAACAGTGCTAGAAAATTTAGCAACAAATACATTCCTTCTGGACAAGATTTTTCACATGGGTTTGGTTCCCTCCCCAAGTTTCCATGACTATCAGGAACAGCAGAGTGGCTCTATGAAGGAAGGACAGTGTCAGAGAGAATGAGAAGCCAGTACAGGCAAAGCAGCAGCAAATGTTTAGTGGATTTTTAAGATTTTTCTCAAGACTGGTAGCCCCAAAAGATACTTATTCTAAAAAAGACAAAAAATTTTTTTAGTTCCCTAAGTTTTGTTCTGCCCTTCTAAGTATAAAATACATTATAAGTGAGATATACTTTCAGAGACATCTGAAAGAATGGAAACTTGTTCCCATGGAGGCCTTTACTTCAAAGAGTCTTTACTGTAAAAACCACAACAGCGTGTTTCCCATCACCCTGAGGTACCATTTCGCTCCGGCCAAGTATGAATGGGATACAGTGATATATTTAAGTTTTAGAATAGTCCTACCTAAAGGGTAATTCTTCAAAACATGGGACATTTAGACCTAAAATGGCAGTTTTGTCCCATATAGGGGAGGGGGAAGCCTCCCACAAGAAGACTTTATTCAAGGTACTCCATGCACAGATCTCCTTCTGCTCTCTACCCTCTCCATTTTGGAAAAGGAAAATCAAATCCAATCTTTCCCAAACCTTCAATATATTTTTCATATTGTTTTTAATTCTAAAGGGGAAAACACTCCCAAGCAAATAAGGAAAAATATCTATAAATAAGAAAGCAAATAGCAACAGTCTAGAAATGAGCTATGCATTTTAAAAAGTACTTTTAATAATGTTGCTATATCTAAAGCATGGTGGGGGGAAGCCCTCATCCTGTACATGTCCAAAGGTCACGCTCACATGAGCTGTGCCGTTGACAGTTCCTCTGACCTTAGGTTATGGGATGGAGTGAGAGGCGCGTCAGAGGTGACAGGAAGATACTTGTGCTGCTGCAAGCCATTGTATGCTCCATAGCCTAACATTTTGGGAACTTCACACCTGCCTCCTTCCTCACATCTCCATGCCTGGCGTTCCCACATACTGCATGGCCTGCTGTAACGAGGGAGAGAGTTTTGTCCATTGGCAGGCAGAAGTGACTTAGGAGGACAGAAGAAAGGAGAGCAGATAGAAAGGAAGAAGTCTTCGAGTCTGATTTAGAGCCTGTTCAATCCATTAAATGGCTCCCTCCCACTTCAAGGGAGCCTTCAGTCAGGTTCTTAATGTAAGCACAAGCTAAAGCTTAGCCCAAGAAATACATGTCCCTGATAGCATGCACAGAAACAAAATTAAGAAGCCTCCCAAAAGAAATGTATTTTTACTGGATTCTTCCCCCTCCTTTTGGCTCCACTTTTTTAATAGCCTTACAACTGTTTCTTTACACAGCAAGGGGAAAGATTTGCTACCAAACCACCACCCCTGCCGGTGTAGCTGTCTGCATCTCAGAAATATTTTACCCTCTGCAATACAAAATGGGAATATGCTTCATTTTCTGGTAATGCATCTGCTGTTTTGTTGTTTACAAAGCATATAGTTACATTATATCCTACTTAGGGACACAAGTCCTCATAGCATTAGAATGCAAATATTTTCACAATAATTTGAGTGCAATACTGTGATGTCTCAGCTAGCTAAATGAATCAGTGACAGGTAAAATATGCAGAGCTGCAGTTTAATGAAAAATTCAAATCAACACCACTGCATCGAGGTGCATTTTCATTTAGCCTTCCAAAGCTGTGAAAAGTGGCTGCAGCTCAAAGAGACGTCAGCTTTGTAAAGTTGCCTTGAGCGTGAGGAGGGCCATCTCCAGCGATGCCGACTCCACACGATGCAAACAGTGAGGGTGGCGAGGCCGGCTCCACTCTGCCCTCAGTGACCTTCAGACATTTTGTCAGCCGTGCACAGCTCGAACAGAGATTGCTCCACTGTGCCCAAAGCCCAACCCCATACTCTGCCAAAAGGGGCAACATCCTGACCCATCACCTGATCCTATGATGGGTGCTGTGAAGCACCCTACTCTCCCTCTCATCTCCAACCCATAATTTAGGAGTAGTCACAGGGAAGAGGACTTCTGAAAAGTGTTCCAAGCCTGAATCACAGGAAAAGCCAACAGACTTTCAATGTGTTTTGTGCTGCGTTGCCACTCAGAGCAGCTGTAAAAAAAAAAAAAATTACACAGCAGACCTAGGCACCTCTTCCATCAACTCTTTGAAAATGCCCTTTAAAGATCATGTCAAAAATGAAGCTACGCACTTTTTGCTGCAACAATTCATCTAGTAAATGGGGCATTTCAGGGGATGTACGTCTGGCAGAGCTCTGGTAGCACGCCCATCTCAGACACCCTTTCCTTTCCATTTGGCAAAGAGGCCTAACAACTCTCCAGTAATTGAGGTCACTGACTAAAATGCTGTATTGCCCCAGGCTGGAATCACTGCAACACTTTTTTCTGCTGGTGGCAGCTCTGCTTTCTAAGTGGAATGAACTGAAGATATATGGAAACTTAAGATAAATAATCATAATAATACAAAAATGAAGTTAAGCATAATCTTCTCCCTGCCCAAGCCCTCCCCATCCAAAACTCAGTCACCCATTTTGTCGGCACCCCTTCTTCACCATCATTAAAACTTAAAATACTTTTATTTGATAAGAAAAATTATATTATAGTTTTCTTAATAAAAAACAAAATAGAACGAAAAAACATCTCCAGTCGACAGCAAAGCACAAGACAGTAAGGCTCCTCCTCCCACATCACTGCAGGATATGGTGTGAGCACATGCATAGAGCTATGCTTAACAGTGCCTAGAGGGAAACACAGCACTCTACACAGAAGGAATCCTCTGGGCAGCTGAAATTTTATGATCCCAGCCAGCACTTATTAGGAGACCACTTTTCCTTGCCTAGCCCCCACACACACTTCCTTTCAGTATATAAACAAATGCAGCTAGTGTAGCTGCAGGGGCGGAACCGTGGTGCAAGGAGGTACAGAGGAAACAATGACTGTAGCAACTACTGCAGATACACTGGAGCTTCAATATCTTAAAAACAACTCACTGACTCGGAATGTCAATATTTCTGTCTTTAAAACACAATCAAACCATTCTTTTGTTTATAATACCAAAAAAAAACCCACATCCTGTCAGAAATAGCTTATGTCATTATGTGTATATACATCTTAGTTCAGCAAAACACTATTTTGGCAATAGATTTTTTTTTATAGTAAGAGCTCTATAGCAACTCTCCCCTTTCCCTCTTCCATGTGATTGATTTATAGTTGGTATTTTTGCTTCTGTTTGGTTCAAGGTGTTCACAAGCTGGTTTTGCTGGTGAAGCTAAGCTGCAAAAATTTCAGGGGCCAATGCTGCTCAAAACAGGATGGCACAGCACTTCATCTGCTCTGCTGTAGGTGGATTTACCTCCCTGAACATAGGGGATGGGGCTTTTGTTTTTTAAACAACAACAAAAATACAAAATACTCTCTGTTTTGTTCTGGGGAAAGCCAGAACTTCAAATGTGCTGTTGCATTCACACTGTGACTGCATTAGCTAGGACAATCAGTCAATAATGCTTTTACCAGATGATGTGGTCAGATACACCAGGTGAATTCTCCCACTGCTGGAGTCAATCACATTGCCAATCTCTCCCATAGAGGAGGATTTCTTTTGGACGTCATTTTTTCCAGAGTTTAGGCTGGGTTTCTTTTCATTTTGTTTCATTTGCCAATCTGATTAATGAAACCTGTTTTCCTTCAAATAGATTTCTCTAGATATTTTCAGCACTTAGTGCATGAGGAGCGGTGACAGAAAACCAGCGCATAGAAGAATACAGTGCCTAATTGGCGTAGTTTTTAGGTTTTTGTTTTCCTAAAAAAATAGAGATTGTATTGCTACAGCTAATGATACATGTAAGAGAGCAAGAGCTCCATCTTTTTTCTTTTTTTTTTTTTTTCTTTTTTTTTTCCCTCCCATTTTTCCCTCTGGTGTGCAAAAGTAAGCTCCCAAATGTCGTCTGATCAAAATCAGTGGTATCAAAACATGGAAAAGGTGATTACAAATTCAGTAAGGTAGCACAGACTTTTTTTCTTTTCTTTCCTTTTTTTTTCCTTTTCTTTTTTAAGTGTTCGAAGTGCTAAAATTTGCATGAAAACAGGCACTAATTTCATTGTCATCATCATGATCTGGTAAGAGTTAGTGTCCAAAGGAAGATCAGCCACAAGTAAGGGAGAGGGGAGATAAGGAAGGGATAGCGTGCTCAGGGATCTGTGGCATTGATTATCGTTTTATCTGGAGGCGCCCATCCTCTGTACCAGCTGCAGTAACCTTCCATCCTCTCAATGCAGGCAAAGTGCTTCGCTTGGTATCCTGAGTGACCAAAGTTGGAGAGCATGTCCATCCAAATACACTCATTCTTGGAGGTGGCAAAGCAGGGCGAATAGTAGCAGGGCCTAATCTGCAATTGTAAAGAGCAATCAGGTAAGGCTACATGGAAAAACAACATTATATAAAATGTCTTTTTACCAGAGACAAGGGATTCACAATTCCACTCCCTCAAACCTTGCTTACTAATCCAAAATTCAGCCTCAGTTTAGTAAGCACATAAGCATGTGCTTAGCTTCACATACACAGGTAATTCCAGAGTCAAGCGGGCTTTTCAGGTGCAGAAAAGTTGAGCTTGTGTCTATGTTTTGGCAAGCCTGGGGCCATGAGCAAAAATCTTAGTGCCAGTGCCAGGCTGTGAGGTTTTAAGCGCTCAAAATGTTTACACAGGAAAAAAGCTGGACATATCTTGCCAAGTCTCTGGTACCTGATTTCATTCACCTGCAAATGATTCTGTGTGGATTCTGAAAGCCTTCCCCAACCACAATTAACTCTAACAGGGCACTAAAAAGGCATAGACTCTGCATTTTTATTTGATTGTCTCTTCTCTGGTCTCAACACTAAAGCTGAGCTTTACTTTTTCCCTGTAAAAACTGTTGTCCTCCATTTCTCTTCCTGGCTGTTCACCAGCATCATTGGTATTACCAGCCAGGGAAACAGAATTCTAGGGTTTGAATGTCTTCACGCCACCTAATTAGAGACACACATACCTTGCATCCACAGCCCAGATTATAACGATGATTCAGTCCTTTACGCTGGGACAGAGTCAGCCGGTCCCACTTCTCATACCAATTGCAAAGGCCAGTGTAAACCTTCCCTTCATACACACGGCCTTGAAAACAGAAACATGGTCACAAGTTAGCACTTCGCGGCTCAAGCACTTTTCTCGTTTCCTGAGATTGCTAATGCTCTCAATATGTTTGGCTTCAGTCACTGCTCAGCAACTGCTTTCTTTTTATTAACTGGTTCAGGAATCTCTGGCCAGCAAGATTACAGCACTTCTGTAAGTTAGGAGTGTTGTGCCAGCTGTAAGCACCAGCAACAACATGCAGGTGAGTAATGCTGTCAAGCTCCTCTCAACAACAGAGCGAACTGACACCTTCACTAGAAACAAGACTTGGCAACTGCCACATCTCTATCTCCTTGCATCCCCCCATCTCAGCAGCCTGCACTTCTCCAGCTCATTCCAAAAGGGATCTTCCATTTCTGGTGCAGCTGAATAGCAAACAGTTCCCTGTGACAGACATGCCAGCTCAAGTATGAACTGACAGCTGTGCACTGTCATACAGCATATTTGTCACAACATAGCTGGGTATAAGAGAGACTTTAGGAAAGAGAGGGGAATCAAGAGAGTAAAATGACTGTCAGCATTAAAGAATACTGAACATCAAAATACTGTTGGCCATCTTAACACTCAAGAAGCTGCGTATAGAGCTGTCTACAAAGCTGCCCATGTCCTTAGCAGGTGTATGTATAGAACAGAAGAGGTTTTGATTACGAAGAAGTACACTGTCCTTTACCTGTAATCAGATATTGATACTTGTTGACCTCCAGCTTGACTCCACAAAGACTCTCAGAGGCTTCTGTGTAGATGTACTGAACATGTGGCATTATCTGGAAGCCCCTGTACATCTAGAGAAACAAATAAAAATGCTTTAAGTCATCTTAAGATGACGACTTTTCACTTAGATTCTTCACAATCTATGTTCCTAGACTCTGGTAGCAAGCAGTGAATTTTTCATCTTTACAAGGGTGAAGGACTTACGGCACTAGCTGGACTTTGACGCAAGTCTCCCCACCAGCTCTCCTGGTAGAGAATACCCACCTGTTAACAAGCCATTGGAATTCAGCACAGGGACCACTTTTCTCCACTCACATTAGTTCCAGTGGCACTCAGTGAGCAAAGCGCCAACATTGGAAGCTCTGCCAACATCCTGAAGAATTTTTTTTTTCTTTATATAGCTCATAACTAGGGAGAAATTAAATTACTTCAAGTTTGGAATCTTTCTCCTTCATGTGATTTAAACAATTTCTTCCAAACCAAGGGATTTTTCTTTTAAACAATGACCCTGTTTTCCAGTGTTGCTGCTTAAGAGTTTCAAACCTTTGGCACGTGATCTATGCCAGACACTTCCTTCTCCAACACCTAGCATAAGCAACTCCTGCTGACTTCAGCAAGGATTTAATGTTTCTCTAACTAAATGAATGCAGAAATAGAATTCTACCCCACCTCCTAAAATTAGACTAGTACCGATGAGCACCATAAAGAACATATCATGTATATATAATTCTTCTATGCTCCTTCTCCTTTTTCATAATCTTTAAGTGGAAGCCAACATACAGTTCAGTTTAATTGAAATATGAACCCACAGATATAATGGCAGTTGGATTCAGGCAGAAATTAGCATGTGTCCCTATCTGACCTGACCTCACCACTGCAATTCAGGGAAACTCATGCACGCCTGTTAGTAGCATAAGGAAGTCTGTGCATAGCAATGAAACAACCACTGCATGCATACACTGGAACCAATAAAACATATCCTGATTTTGAAACATTTAGGATGATTTTCCTCCAAATTTCATCTTTAAAATTTGGTTATCTTTTCAAAGTATGCAGTCTCTCTTTCTTCCCCACCAACTGTATGAATGGCCAATGTTTAAACATTAAAGGAAAACAACAGGAGTCAGAGACAATCACAATTTCAAACCATTTCCCAGCCTATCCTTTTCTCTGTCAGCTTTATTGATAGAGAGCACATTCACATTCAGTTTAACTGGAAATATTAAAGTGAGACAAAAGAGGAAAAAAAATCCCAAACAATCCCAGAGATATAGATCCTTGCTGCTGTGTCACCTGAGTGGTGGCATTCTCCTCCATGCTGTATTCTATTTCTTGAAGTCCCCTATTACCCCAGGGTATGTGTCCCCATTTGTTCATCTTTCACTATTCCCCAGCTCCTTTAAGAACAACAAACCTTTTTCTTCTACAGAATTCATCTGTGCTATTCTTTCTGGTATTAGGGGCCTGATTCATACCTCTATGAAGTCAGTGAAAGGATATCTGTTGATTTAATGGATTTTATGCTAGGCCCAGATACTGCATACAAAAAACCAAAAAGCTACTACTAATTCTGCTATGCTGAGAGGTCAAACTATCTTCTGGGCATCCGTGGAATGTCTGCCAGATTTTTTTTGCTCCTTATATTACCCCAATCAGCATAATCTTATAACAGTATCACAACTCAGTAACAGCACTGCTGCGTACAGTAAAAGACATGCTAAAGGGTTTGCATTTTCCAGCCTTCCTTCTACACCCAGCAAATATGCAAGGAAAGCATTTTTTTAGATTAATCACACTGTATCAACAAAAGCTCACAGATCGTGTTTCGAATACACCATTGTGTCCATAAGTGAGCAGTCTTTCAATGAATATGGAAGAACTGAACCTTGCCTAATCTCCACTTTATCCCTGCAATTTTCTTGGTATGGGATGATCTACTCAGATTTTCCAATTATGCTCAAGATAGTTGGAGATCTAGGTTCTGGCACAAGAATCCTGTCTGGTTTTGGATGAGTTATTTAGCCCCCAGCACACTTTTGTTCCTCCTCTGTACAACAGCTCTGCCTTGCTTCACAAGGGTACTGTCAGGAAAGGCACATAGAATAAAGATCATGTGTTCAGACCCCATTCTAGCGGGCGTCACACCAAGAAGCTATGATAACAGTATCTAAGCAGATAAGACTAGCTAAGATAACAGCTAGGGCTGCCCAGTCTCTCCAGGCAGTGCATTATCTACACTCCAGAGAGCTGTATGCTGTGCATGTGCAGTACAAGTGATCTGTCACTCAGAGTGCTAAGCTTCAAGTAGTGTTAGGCTAATTAAATATCTGCGCTACAAAGTCTACATGTGCATGGGCACACTTTGAGCCCATTCTTCCCCTTGCAGAAAGGGCTATAAGCTAGACTAATCATTCTTCTAAGAAGGTGCTCAGGCCCTTCCTACAGGACCCTTCCTTACAGTCATCACTCCTTGCATCTTCTGCACCGTCAAGCTTAACATGACTGCCTATAAAGTAACTAGTGATGCTGAACTGGGGTTTGTTTTTTGACTCCTGGACCTAATTTCTTGTTCATGTTACCATCAGGGACAGCACTGTCAGGGTTGCTGAAGGAAGCATGCTCAGCCTCTCAAAAAGCACTTCATCTCACCCCTCAGTGACCCTCATCAATGCTAGCAACTGTCACGCTAATTGACCCAGTGCTGGGGGCAGACAGGGCCTGCCTCATCGTCTGTTGACTAAAGAAAATTCACCATGACCTTGGTTCTCAGGGGAGGAAAAAGAAAGTTTGGCAAGGGGGAATCTTCTACAGATGCGCTCTTTCAAAACAAATAAAACAATACCTTAAGCGTTATTTTTGGATACACAAAATATCCTGGAAGTGCTATTAGACCAGTCAGAAGAAAGCCAACCATAAAGCTAGCCTCTCTCCTAACTGCTACCCTCAGAGTCCTCCTGTCGCCACAAATGTGTATTTTCAGAAGCATAATGACAGGGAACAAAGTATTAACAAGCGTCACATGGTGGTGCCTGCTAGTGCTGCTCTATTTCCAGCTGTGTCAGCATTCCCCTTAGCAGCCCCCATACTGCCTCAGAAATGCACATCCAAATCCTGTGGTGGTTCCTCCTACATGATTAACTTCACCCTGTAACACTATGTTCCTCCCTCTATCCCTCCCATGTGAGGTCGCACTAGATACCAAGGCCCAGAGTCATCTTGCCTAACCTTCAGCTACCTAAAAGTTACACGATTCATATGAATTAGGCATCCTCTCTAATCAAACACCAAGGACGGGCACCTCCAGAACAACACAGCCCATCCTAAAATAGCTGTCTACAACTGGTCGGCTGAATTACTCTGGTGGTTCCTGTCTCTCTCCCTTGACAATCAAGAGAGCAGGAAAGACTCAACACTTCATTTTAGTCTGTCTAAAATTAAACTAAATTAATCCCACCTCGCTTCTTTTCTCTTGGGACTATCAGGTTTCACCCCTCAGACTCATTTTACAGATTCGCAACAAACTAAGGAAAGCCTCCTTGCTTCTGGCAGCCTGTGCAGAGTGCTGCCATGGTCAACCAGGACTGTTTGTGTACAAGGAGATAAGATACTTCTACTCCATGTTTCCTTTGCAGTTTCCTGAAATAGCTTTGGGCCATTCTCAGAATCCACTGCAGCACCACAGAACATGCAGGGTTAGATCAGTCCTGTGCAGATTTCTGACACGTGATCTTGAAATATTCTTAAATTACTTGAGCAAGCAGTGGGGGAAGGCAGAGGGTGCTTGAAAAAGCACAAGGCCTTTTCAGACAACAAACCTGAACGCTAGAAAGCCTGGCACCGTTCTGTGCCTGTGGGCTGACCTTGTACTCCAGTCCAAGCCCCAAGCTGGTTTAGTTGTGAAATTCAGCAACAAGTTCAGGAGTGTTAGTGAGAGCAAGAATCAGCCACAGCAAACTCCAAGGATCCCATGAAAGAAATACAAAGATTGTTTGTCACCCTTTAAGGCTCTCAATGCTTTTCGCAGGCAATTCAGTAGACACTGATAAACTAAATGGCTTGTTTATTTTTCATCTGCAGGTGCAGATGGGTTTACAGGTGGCCAAAAACCACTGAAATGTTAGTTTTATCTTCAGAGTTGTTCCCATGCAGCTGTGCAGAGTATAGGCCTCCTTAGTTTTCTTTTCAGCGGGAGGACAGTCAGTTTTCATTGGGGTGAGCAAGGGAGAAATTTGCTGCGTCATTCTGAGCTCCCTCACTGCATGGAGCTGAATCCCTCTTTATACTGAAGTCTCTAAGCTCAGCAGAAAGACAGCAGGGTTTCAAATAAGACACTTGGTTTGTTTGTTTATCAAGAACTATATGCTCCAGACATTCCAGTTCTGCTGAGCACTTTGACTGCTTCAGGTTCCTTCCTGCCAAAGGTCACAGTTAAATGTGCAAAGCAACATCTCACCAGCCCACCATCTATGCAGCGGGCATAGAGGCAGTTTGACCAACACACGAGCTCCCCTTTAAAATCACTCTCACTTTTGTTGGACACATAGCTTCCTAACAAAACACCGTGGAACTGCTCCTGCAAAAAGGCAACTGTTCGCTTGTGGTCTCGGCATGAGGACACTGCAGATTACTGCAGTATATGCTGTAACCACCCTCGCCCTGTGCTGCAGAATAACCCAATGAAAACAGCAAGGGCAGGCTCTGGCATGTTATTTAAAGACTGGCACAACGGTGTCAATCATGATGGTAGAGTGGCTGCTGCTCCACTCAACATGCTCACCTTGCCTGGGCTTATGCTCCTCCCCATGCCAGCAGACACAGAGAAGCCTTTTCTATTCATAGCATGGACACTACTGCAAACTCACAGGTCAGAGGAGGAATGCTTAATGCTGCTCCAGAAATCTCTGACACTGCAGCTCACTGGCTGACAACAGGGCAGGCTGTTAGGAGAGAGGCGAACGTTATGGTTGGTAAAGGGTAATAATTCATTTTGGGGACTACTGTTTTTCTAGATCACCACTGGACCCTGTTCATGGTCATGTTAGAAAGAAAGCACCAAACTCTTTGAACTAAGTAGCAGAAAAAGTAGGGGTCCTGGACAGATGTGGACAAAATCATAAAAAAACAATTGATGAAGTCACTGCAGCATGTGGACATTGAGTAGTTCTGTGAAGTGGGGTACACTGGCTGAGCTAAAGGGTGACAAAGCTGGACAAGAACTGCACAGAGTGCTGCAAGCCTGATGAAGCCAGGGACAGCCATCAGGAAAAAAAAAAAAAGAGTGGCAGCGTTGTCTCACTGTTGCCGACATAGCCAGTTGCCTTTTTTACAAATGCAAGTTAATTAGCAAATGTATATATTTCCCTTTGAATCTTAAAAACAAATTTTAAAGATGAAGGAAATTAGTAAGCCCAACCTCACGCCCTCTCATTCAAAGCACAAGCATTCCACTCTAGTGGAAGAGCCATGCCAGGACCAGATTTGGCTACGTGTGTGGTTTTGCGACAGCTTATGAAACAGGCTTTCCGTCTCCTCCTCCCAGCTTTCGTGCTTAACTATAAACTGCCTTATAAAGAGAGTTACTGTTACAAGGCAGGCAAGTGACTGTTTTTTTCTGAACCTTTACTTTGTCTAATATGTTTCAGATTTCTGCAGTCTCTGCCAAGCTTTTCCATTCCCTTTCTTTTTTTTTTTAAGGACATAAACCAGTCTTATGACTGGAATGGCATAGCCAAGAAAAACAATGTAGGGCTGATTTTTAGCATTACATAACAAGGGGTCAGTTTAAGAAGAAAAAAAAAAAAGGTCCAAAGCAGCAGGTTGAGTGCAGTTTGTGCAGCAAAGAATTAGAGCTCAGAAGAGAGGAACTAGAGAAATGAAGCAACTGGTGTAGGAGATCTACCTCTTTTCACCTCGGAGTCAATAGTTTATAGCTCTTCTGAGCTGATGATATTTGAAAGCTGAAGTGTTTGGTTTAGCTTTACATAAAAACTTCACTGTACGAGTTTCATTTGTTCTATACATGGAAAAAATTGCCATCATTCTAACTGGTGGTCAGAAAGAATGTAAAGGAAGAAAGATGAAGGACCACTCTCCCACGGCTGGCAGACCCCCTACCACCACCACATCTTGAATTTAATGAAAGTGCTGCATGGAAAAGCTTGCATTTCCACAGTCTAACACTGTGTATGTTGAACACAAACAGGACTCCAGTATCTAGAGAAGCCCATCTGGAATCTTTTACTACCAGAAATTTTTAAAATAAAGGAAGAATTCGGGTATTCAGCATTGTATGTCAGGAATGACCTGCTCCTGCTCCTTTCCCCTCTCCAGGCAAGTTTCTACCAATTGCTGGTTACCTTCCATTCTGGCTGACCAATACAAAAAGTTGAGGTGCTGTTATTTTAAGTATGCAAACTCTGTTCATTATTACGTGTTAATCAGAATCATTATCCTATCTACAAGCCTATGTGAAATGTCTGCAAACGTACCTTCATCTGCTTGACCGTGTATCGCATCGTTCCAAATGGTCCATCTTTCATGAGCTTCTTCCCCACAACTTTAGCTCGGATCACTGTCATAAGAGAGGCAAAATACAACAAATTATAAACAACTATATGCAACATTTAGGTTAGACCCTCCACTTCCAAAAAGCTACTTAGATAAATTATTCTGTAAAATAAAACAAAACTCCAGGCCAACCTTTCTCTCAATTTATTCTACATCTCACACACAATGAAGGCATGTAAAATGGGATGCCAAAGCAAGTATTTATTTAGAGGAAATCCAGTTCTGTATGAAGAATAAGAACAAGTATTATTTATGCTGAAATCTCACTGAGATCTCCAAAGCAGACTATAGCTGGGACCAAGACAGGTTAAAATCTTTCCACCAGGCCACTGGCATGAAGTTCATATTTAATGTCTTAACTCTCAACATACAGAATGGTGTTCAACAAGATACTACCTTTTAAATTGTTCTTTGGGTGCCCAATGCAGCTTCTGATTCCCAATAACCACAACAATACAGTACAGAGCACTGGAATATCCTGTATCTGGGGACTTCACTACAGCTACCACCTTTCAGATACCACAAAACTCCCAACAAATAGCTCCCTTTAACAACTGGCTACTCTGCAAAAACAGATTGTCCAGCAACCATCAAGCCCACAGTGAAAGCTGCCAGGCCAGCCAGAAGCCACTTGGAAGACAAACTAAAGCTAACCCATCAGACCTCATGTACACTGCACTTCATTTCTTCATGGATACGAAGGGGCAGTGTACGTGCATACATGCACGCAGCATCCAGCCTGACACAGATACCTCCATTGTACCACAGACGCACCACGGCAATGCCAACTGAGCCCAAGTCATCATAGATAAGGTTTTTGAGGTCCCTCAGATGGATCTAGTGGGTAGTTTACAGTCAGTGCTTAATGAAGAGTTCTCCTGCTCATCTATTTTTGGGGCATTCCACAAAAAAAAAAATACTGTTCCATCAATCCTCTTCGAAAAAGTTCTGCAATCACCTGCTCATCTCAGTAGAGGAGCAAGGCTTAGTGACAGGGCAGGCATTATTCAGCTAAAGTCCACTCCCCTAGAATGATCGTATCACATTATACAAGCACCAAAAGTGGCTTAATTTTTACAAGGGCTGCAGAAAATGAGACTGGAGAAGACCGATCCTGGGAAGAATAAGGATCACTATTAGAAAACCCTGTATCTCAAATGCCACTCATACAAACAACAGGACAAAAAAATTAAACAAGGAACTCAAAATTCCATCAGTCAAGAGAAACATCAAAACTACAATATAACCATGCAAATCTTATTCATCAAGCTTCTCACTACAAGGGCTACAAAAATTATCCCAGTAGAATAATCCAAAGAAAGCAACATACTCATAACACAACTGACAATGTCATAGTTATATATAAATCCCCCAGAAACTCCTTTTTTGTGGAAGAGGAGATATCAGATACTTTTGCATAAACCTTATACCAGTACACCATTGCAAACAACACACCTCTGCTGAATGTATCACCCAATGGTTCCAGACTACTGAAATCCAGCAACTAAAATAGACCACATGCATCATTTCCTCTGAGCCTGTGAAGGTCCCGATCATGACTCCGTGCACAGGACAGAGGTACTGCTCCCACAGCAATCTTTTGCAGTATTTCCTCTGTGTTTTGCTGAATGTACCATATTAATGCATCACAGAAAACAATTCATTAAAGAGCAGGAAGGCATGGAAGGGAGACAAAGAGGTGGAGGTACTCCTTTGCAACCAGGAAAACCCAACAGGTTATTATTTGCATTACAGCACTATCTAAAAGCAGCAACAAAGTTCAGGGATCCATTTTGCTAGGTATATAGTACATCAAACAAGCACCTTGTTGCTTCTTAGCTCATTTAGGTTTCCAACAGCTGTAGAAGCCCACTGGTAGAAACGGGAAAAAGAGGAGGCTAAGTTTTTGTTCACTACCTAGACCAAATTAATGAGGCAAAACGCTTCTCCTAGCTTTCTGAATAACCTGAAGAACAGATTTAAAGGAAGAGACAGGTCTGGATATACACACCAGTTCCTGGAACTTGTTCCATGAGGATGGTGTGAAATGAAGACAAACTCACTCTGCTCTGATTTATATCCTGTGCTTCAGCCAGACTTGTCAAGTAAATTTTAAACTAGGTAAGACAGTCCTGCTGGCTTTGATTCAAAGGACCAACAAAACCTTCATTCATTAAGTGTAAAATTCCATTCTTAATTTTTTTTCAAACTTCTATTATCCAATGGCAGTAAAAGCCAGTACAATTTTATTGATTCTTCTATTTAACAAGTTTGTCAGACTTCAATTTACTCCTTTCAAAATTAAGTACCTATACTGAAGCATGTCCTTGAGGACATTAATAAAATTAATTTCTTCCATTTGTTGCCCCCAACCACCACCACCATCAGTGGAGCTACAAAAACCAGACTGCCTCAGGGTCAATGAGAAAGAACACAATTTCTTTACGGCTTTGTGAATTACAGAGCGCTTCACTAATGCCAGAATCTATAGCAAAGGGTGTCAAAAGTCTTATCTTCATCTATTGTATATCTGATATGCTGAAATTGAAAAACCTGGTGTTTGCCGAATGCATCTGAAATCAACAATGAAATCTTATATCTTATTGACAATGATAAGAAAGATACTAGAAGGCAATATTGCAAAATGCTAGGGTTTCCAAACCAGAACACAGTTAGTATAAAAGATGACAGGCGCATTCCCAATTGCTGACAAAATATCTAAAAACCCATTTTCTTCATATACTTCACTGCTAGCTTGGCAGCCCTTTAACTTCTAGTTAGAGTAGCACAGCCACTGCAGAAAGAAGCCAACTTTGATTTATGGACTAATCAACAGCTTCACCACAGGACCACAGATTCAAAATGCGCATGTACACTAGCACATAACAGCATCCTGGTTTCAACTAATGCTACCCTTGCAAGCAAGTGGAAGGATCTGTATTTTTGTATTATTGTTCCCCACTGAAGTTAGAGAAGAACAATCATCCTAGCGAATTCACCTAGTAAAAACCATGAAAAACTTTAGCGTGCGCCATCACTTCAAGCTTTTTGTAAATGAGTCAAAGCCCTCTGTATCTCAGAGAAGTTGCCTTTATCACCCAAATGGTAACTTTTCTAGGTTCCTTTACCAAAAGGCTAGGACTGGACAAAGAACCCACCCTGCCTCATTTTTCCCATACTAAAGGAAAAGTCAAGCTTTTAGCCAAGGAGCAGAGGATACTCCAACTTAAGTCTACCCCTTGTATTTTGTGAGGCTAAATTCCCACCCCCCAAGGATTAGATGCATGTGGGTAACTGGAGAGAAATGCTGGAAGGACAGGACTGCTCAGAGTTTGCTCTTGCATGTCGAGCTTCATCACCCTAAGCCTCCACGCGTGAAAGCCACTTGCAAATCTGCCCGGAACAGAGCTCCAAGCTGCAGATCTGCAGCCACATGTTTCCCAGTTCCTGTCCTTGCTCCTTCAAACCACTGCTCACCAGTTATACTGCTGGACCACTCTTCATAGCTAGTCAGAAGATAAAGAACACTGTTCCTAACTGAGTAGGGGCCATGCATACTTGCCCAAGGAATTTTTCACCCTCTGCAAAGCATCAGAAATTTACAGTATTTCTGCTGCAACTTCAGTCTGTGTTACATTAACAAAGTCAACTGTTTACTTCTGGGGACTCCTACCACTTGAGCAGAATGAGGCAAAAGGTGCTGTGACTGCTCCCCTGAACTCCTTCCTTCTTCCTGAAGCTATATTACAGTCTTGCTATTACTGATGGGAAACTTAATCCCACACAAGTGGTCACCAAAATAGCTGCATATTTTTAAACCACAATTCCTTTGAAGTACTGCCTATAAAAATACTCCGAGATGAATGTTTTTCAGTACTTTGGGGTTTCAGGTCGGGTCACTTTGTGGGACTGGAGCAGTTGGCAAGGTCTCATGAGTGATTTGTAATTATTTATGAAAAGTTAAATTAGATGAGGATATAAATCTTGATAAGATAAGCACGGCAGCCATACCACGATTCAAAGAGGAGAAAGCATATGTGCTGCTTCTCAACATTTGACATTATTAAAAAAATGAGGGAGAGAACAGAGAGAAAGAAAACCGGATATTTAGTTGATATTCTAAAAAAAAAAAAAAAATTATTAAGAAAATAACAACCTGCTGTGTTTGAGGATGCAAGAAATACATCTAACAATGTATCACAGATGATTAATGCATTTATCTCTTTTCCCTTGCCTTTTCTTTTTTTTTTTTTTTTATTTAAACCAGCTCAGCTCCTGGAATCTTTGATAAAGCTGTTGGTTCTGACACTCATGCCTGACTATTTTTTCCTCCCATGTTAGGCACATTACAAAATAAACCCCTGCTGACGTGGAAATCATATAAACAGAATCCTGAGAGGGTTTTCTCCAGAGCTGTCCTTTGCAGTTGCTGTTCCCTCTGTGCTGAGTACCAAGAGACTCTAGGAGAAGCACACAACTAATTTGAGTCCCTTTAGTTCAAGGTGGTGTAAGGTCACAGTGAGAAGTGTTTTAAAAACTCTGAAGCCCTGTAGAAACTGTGTGGGTGTGTGTTTTGTGTCCTGCCCTCTCTTTTTCCGTTGTTTAATGGTCCTACTTCTTAAGCTGTAAGGTGGTGTGGTCACTATTCAAAGTATGAAGTGGCCCATGTATCAAAAGTACTGAACTATGTCAGTCACCAGTGAGTGGGGCGCAGCATCCTAAAATATGCAGGTAAAGTGTTTACCTGGCAAAGTTCAGAATAGCTTCCTCTGCTTTGCTTGGGTTTTGGCAGGAGTACAGTAGAATGAGTTTGCTGGTTCTCCTATCACAGATTTAATGCATTTATCTCTTTTCCCCTGCCTTTTTTTTTTTTTTTTTTTTTATGTAAACCAGCTCAGTGCTTAGGAAAACAGAGATGGCTCAGATTTGCCACAGAACTAGTATAGTGCAAGCAGCTAATGGTTTCTATTTCACTGGCATCTCTAGCGTGATACAAACTGTCCACATGTGC